TATTCCACTGAGCCATCTCCCGGCCCCTCTTTTTTTATTTCCAATCTGAGTTCCTCTATACCTTTCTGCAGCTGTTTCTTTATTTCAGAAGCTGTTGATTCATTGCTTTCAGCTGTGTGATTTCCAATTTGTTCTCTGTTAGAGTCCTCTGCACTTGTTATGGGTGCTTGGGTTTTGAGATTGCATTTTGTTCCTTCTCGTCATTTTGTTTAGCACTGTCTTCTGACCTTTGTTGTACATCCTTGGTGCAGTTATAACGTTAGCGTCTACTGAAGTTTAGGTGCAGATCTACAAAGTTTGGATTTCTCCAGCTTTGCCTATCTTGGGTCTGGCTGCTCTCCTCAGCTCCTTCCTGCTGCTGCCCTTGGGAGTGAAACTGTTGTGCCCCTCTGGCAAGATGTTCTGCTTCTGGACTAGCTGCGTTGTTCTGTCCCCTACACTCTCTGCAGCGATTGCAGCTGCAGGGTTTCACCCCAGGCCTGTATGCCAGGCCTGAGCTGAGTCTAGAGGGGACAAGGTGGAGTAGGGGGGAGAGGCAGCTCTCCCTCACACTCACCAGTCCTGGACTAGGACTGGATCTTGGGGTTCCCGAAAGGGGGCAGAAATTCCTACTCCGTGGGCGGGGTGGGGGGTACTATGAAGTGATGCGGGGTGTCCCAAGAGGGTGAAAGAGGGTGTCACTCAGGGTGTGCCTGGGTTGGGACCAGTAGGTCACGCCAGCACAGTGTTGCTGGAAGCTCTCCCACACATTCACCGGACCTGGGCTAGGACTAGGTCTGGGGGTTCCCAGAATGTGGCAGAAATTCCTACTTGGCGAGTGGGGTGGGGGATGTGCTGCATAGTGGTGGGGGTGGAAGAGGGTCTCACCCACGCTGCGCCTGGGCTGAGACCAGTAGGTCCTGCCTGCGCAGGGTAGCCGGAAGCTCTCCTACACACTCACAGGGCCTGGGCTGGGCTGGACTGGGTCTGGGGCTTCCTGGAACGCGGCAGAAATTCCTATTCAGAGGGTGGGGTGGGGTAGATGCTGTGGAGTGGTGTTGGCGTTCCAAGGGGATGGAAGAGGGTCTCACCCACTCTGCACGTGGCCTGGGACCTGTAAGTTCAGGCAGCCCACGTTAGCTGAAAGCTCTCCCACACACTCGCCGGGCCTGGGCTAGAACTGGGTCGGGATATATGATTGAGTATTACTGCATGCTTTCTAGAAATCTTAGGACCGGGGAGATAGCTGAGTAGAATAAGTGCTTGCCTGGGAAGTGCAAGGTCCTGAGTTCAATCCCCGGTACTGCAAAATAAAAAGAAAAAAAAAAGAAATCTTAAATTTTGTTCTTGTCTCTTTTCTTCTTTACTTTTTTCTAAAAAATTTAAAGAGAGTATAGTAATAATCGATAGGGTGTTAGAAATGGTACAAGATGACAGGTATTTCAAGCATAGTTTTTGTATTACACATTGCTGTCCTCAATGTAGTTTCTCAGACTCTAGTTATCTGCATACCGACTTAGTCAAGGTGAGAATTCTACTCACTAACTGCTATTTTTATAAAACTGATGGAACTTCTTAGTACAGTCACCTCATCCATCTGGTATATATGCTTGCATGCTTTTGCCCCTGCCATTTTTCCTATCTTTTCTCCTTTCTCTCCTCTTCATTGTTTAATCCTTAAGTTCCGTTTCTTTCCATTTAACTGTATCTGTTATACTTTTCATGTTTTATATCTTCTTTTGGGTTCTTACACTATAGAGACCATGAAAATTATTATTATTTGTGTTGGGCGTACTAGGGAAAAAAAAAACAAAACAATAAAAACCCTGTGAAACTTTGTAGAAGTCTGATTTGTAACATGGCATTTAGTTATTTTGATATAGTAAAACTTTTAAAATATGTAGTCTTCTTGACCAAAGAAAAATTTATGTTAATATTTACATTCATATTTTAAAACCTATAAATATTCTATTAACAATTATCTGTTTCTTTCATGACTACATAGACAAGAAAAAATGTATTTTTAAGGCTTTTAAAGAAGGTAACAGATTTAATCCTGTTTTTTAAGAAAGGTTTTCTGTTGTGACAGGAGATACTGTTGTGTGAGTTCTTATGCTCTGACTTTTAGGTTATTTGGGTTATACTTGAGATTATTTGTTTCTTTTAAACCTGTTTTTACTGGTGTAATTGGTTGAATGCTTTTTCCAGTTTTCCATCCTTTTTAATGTCAGTTGTGGAAATACAGAGTGGTAGTATTTTATTTCATCTTACAGTTGCCTCACTTATCCATGGAGGATATGTTCCAAATAAACCTGCATAGCACCCAGTACTATTAATTCTGTGTTCTTCCCTGTGCATATTTCCCTGTGATGACATTCATTGCCATTTTCATATTAACAGTTTATCTTGTGCTGTGCCTATAATATTTACACTCTGAGGTATGACACCAACATACAGCGAGCTGGGTTTTTTATTTCACAGTCATAGGAAGATTGATTCTTAGTGTAGGTCTTAACATTTCACTTAAAGGATTCATTTATGACTTTTTTGGTTTATCTGAATACCAAGTGCCACTACTCTTAGGATTTTGCCCTATAGTTGAGTAAAATATTATCTAAACTTAAATACTTCAGCAATGTCACCTAAGATGGGTAAATGACTAATGGATGGGTAATGTGTGTAGTGTGATACTGAAATATACCAGAGAGTTTCTCCCCAAATGTGGTACCTAGGTAAGCTAATTAGTTTAAATTTAAGACCATGGAGAGCAGCAGAGGCTGGAAGAGGCTTTACTGTGGTAGTATTCAAAGACCAGACTTGCCAGAGAAGGAAATAATTGTATAATCTCTTCTGTGTGTTGATTACCTAAACTCCAATGTGTGCAGAAGGGAAGATTAGTGAGTGTAATCTTACCTGGCAGAGTTTATCACAAGCTGTTACCAATCTTATAGGCCCATTCAGTTTTGAAAGAGGATTACTATATTTAACTGTTGATTGAGCATCTGTCCTGTTCACTTACTTAAAATCATTTATTGTTACTGAAACTCTTACATTTCTGATCTCTTCATTTCTTTATGAAGAAGGAAATACAAATATCTGGACCTCATTGGATTATTTTGGTTATTGCAATCTTGTTTTTCTCCCCCCCTGAATATTTATAAGATTATGTGTCTGTCACTGCTACCTATTGTCAGTTTACCTCCACAAACCTGGAAGCTGTAGGAGAGCAAGGGGAATCTTGTTTTGCTCCTACAATACACTGAAAGATAGGATCCATGTCCAGGGGCATGGTAGTGCAGGATTTGTTTTCATTGTTTTAAATTATTGATTTCAGAGATTGTTTTCATTTACAATTTTCAGCTTGTGGTTGTCTGTGTATAACTAAAAATTATGTAAGACTGTGGATAAGGTGACTTCTTTCAAACTTCAGGGCCTTTTTTCTACTACTAATAGTCCAGAGTTGATAAACCGAGATTTGTTATACTTTCCTGGTAGAGTAAGCATAGATAATCATTGATACTGTCATTTAATGGAAAGTTTTCTCATGTAACTTTAAAATAGGCTTATTATTTTAAAAGATGGATGGTCTTTAAACTGAAGATTACATTTTATAATTTTCTATACCTTTTCGTTATCAAGCATGTTATTTGTGCAAAAGTAATTTTAATTCTTGTTTTTGATCAAATTTAAAAATAAAATTTTAGTCTTTTAATGTTCATTTCAAAGATTAAAATACTAATTTTTATTATTGATTTAAAACCATTCTATTAAATTTAGACTCAGAGGAAGAATTTTTTGATGCACCATGTAGCCCCCTGGAAGCACCTCCTCAGCTTCTAACTAGAGCTAAAAGTGTTCAACAAAAGAAGTTAGAAAAGCAAGACTGTCCAGTAAATCTGACTCAGTTTAAAATACGATTTGAAGTAGAAGAGGTATGTACCATGATAAAATTATTATGGGTCATTTAAATCATTTTTCATTTCTGCTGTTTATAGCTTACGTAGTCTCATTGCTAATAGGCACTGTTTTCATTCTGATTTAAGCTTACTGCAGACTTGCTGTGGTTTACTTCATCCCTCTTCTTGAAGATTAACTTTATTAGTTAAGAAACAGGTTTAGATGATATGTTGTGCATATTCATATATTTTGGAAAAATTATATGCAGAAGTATAATTATATATGTGAGCGGGTATAAAATGGCTAAATTTTAAATATGTAATGGCCCTAAATTTTAAATATGTAAATATTCATATGCATGTATGTTTGTGTATGTGTATATATGTGTATGTGTGTATATCCTATATCCATATAGATCACTACCTTGTAAATAAACATGTTTTAATTTAACATAATGGTTTCTTTTTTTCTTCTTCTGCAGGTTTTGATCCAATTTTATCACCTTGAAGGAGATTGTGAACTACCTGTGGTAGAAATTGATGTTTTAAAATCAGGCATGGAAGTTGAAATTAGAACATTTGATTTGAAAGCAAATGCCTTTTTGAAAGAATTCTGCTTAAAATGTCCAGAATTCGTTGGTAAGAATCTCCATTTAAAAACAAAAATAGACAAGCTAATTTCATAGTTTCAAAGGCTGACACTCCAAGCTCCAGTGGTACCATCTGTCTGGCCTCTGATAAGGACGTCTTAGTGGATGACACATGCAGAAAAGATCATATGATGAGACTGGATACCAGAGAGTGATGCAGGTGTCAGGCTTACTCCTTCATAACTACTCACAAGAGCTAACTATACCCTCCAAGGGCTGGGTCCTTAGTGTCCTGATTATCTTACAGTAGACTCCACTTCTTAAAAGTTCTGTCACCACACTGAGAGTTAGGTTTCCAGCACATAAATTGTTAGAAGAAGAAACTACATCTAAACCACAGTAGAGTTAGTTTTAAATTTTTATCTGATAATTGGTTCTCTGGAAGATAGGGAATGGTAGATCAGAAAAAAACAATCATTTTTTTGTTGTTGTTAAGGTAAATGAGGATTAAAATTTAAATCTACACTGAATACAGGAACAATGAATTGATTTCCTATTTCTGCTATAACAGTGTACCACAAAGTTAGGTTCTCAACACAATACTACCTATCTTGAGGTCTTACTGGGCAAAAATCAAGGTGTCAGCAAGAGTTCCTCAAGAGTAGGACCTATTTCCTTGTTCATTCAGGTGTTACCTAAATTCAGCTGCATGTGACTTAAATCTGTTTTCTTGCTGTTAATTTGTCTTTAATTTCTAGAGGTCTCTGTTGGCCCTTGCATTGTAATTCCCTATATCTCAGAAACAGTGTAGAGTGTTAGATCCTCAGTACCACCATCTCTAACCTCATTTACCTGTTCCTTCCACTCTTAAAAAGTCAGGAGATTAGATTAGAAACAGTGGATAATCCAGGATTATCTCCATTTAACCATAATTACTTCAGTCCATTTTGTTATATGAGGTAACATATTCTCAGATTTTAGAGAATTAGAGTGTAGATTTTATATAGGGGCATAAAAACTTTTTATTTTTCAGAGTCATAGGGTATATGCCTAACAAAATATTTCTATTTCTGTGTTAGGCATTTAGGTGAATGTTACTTATATTTGTCTCCTAAATGAAAAAAAAAAATTCCTTGAATGATAATTACAATTGGTAAAGGGAATTTTACAAACAACTATTCAGTAGTTTAATTTTACTAAACTTCTTTTGTAGCATAGCAGTATTATATATAACTAGATATAAAATCAAGTACTTTTAGTAGTCTATTTAGTTTTGGGAGCAGTTTTAGATCCATGGGAGAGCTAAAACAGATGGTACAGAGATTTACCCATTCCACCCTTAGTTTTTTCCTAGCTAGTTTTGTGACCTAGGGACAGATTTTTTCTTTTTCATTTATTTATTTATTTATTTATTTATATTTATTTATTTATTTATTTTGTATTTTAGGGAAGGGTCTACAGGGTGTTCAGGGTCTTACTGCTAGATCGAACTAGTAGTGATTCTCCTGTTTACAGCCTCCCAAGAACTGGAATTACAGGCATGCACCACCACAACCAGTCTCAATCACAATCTCAGTGAGCCCTGGGGGCAGGGCCAGCACAGCAGGCCTGGAGATCTAACCCCTTGTGCCTGCACCTGCTTGCAGGCACTTTAATCTGCTGAGGTATTTGGCCGGCCCCAAGATATTTTTTAGTATAGTTTCATTGCTAAAAATTATTCTGGATTGGGGACTGGGGAGATGGCTCAGTGGAATAAGTGCTTCCCTGGCAAGTACAAGGGCCTGAGTTCAATTCCCGGTTCCACAAAAAAAAAAAAAAAAAAAAAATTATTCTGGATTGTGTTTTGATGGTTTCTAGTTTTTCTTATCTTCATTCCTGATACAGTTATGAAGATATGGTACTTTAGTGTGGAAGCTTAAGGGGAAGGGATTGTAACTACGACAAGAAAGTATGTTTAAGAGTTTAAAAAATAAAGATAGAACCTGACTGGTTAAGGTAGATTCCAAGGCCCAGAATTGATACTATTACTGCCTGAATTTATTTTCAGTTAGCTTCCCTACCAAAAAATAATTTTAAAAAATTATTTTTAGATGAAAATAAAAAACCAGTATATTTGGCCACAACACTGGATAACACAATGGAAGATCTGTTAACACTGGAATATATGAAGGTAAGCAGTTCCATTCATATCAGTTTGACAGGTAATTGTGCTCCTGAAATTTTTAATCAAATTTTGTAACTTTGTCTAATCTTTATTCTCATGTAATCTCAGTAATTTGTAACACTTTGTTTCTGGTCATTCTTTGTCAAATAGTTGTGATTTACAAATACTCCAATGTAGCAAAATAAGTAGCCTGTGTTCCATATAGAGACTCACTGTTTAACCCCTCATCCCCTAACACACACACACTCATCCACCTACCCTCTCATACTCCAGGGTATTCAGGAGAACAAGAGCTTTTTAATCTCAGTGAAATTTATTGTTATGCAAGATGTCATTGTCTGAAGTTACCTGATTTTCCTAGTTTTACTGATTCCATTCTCTTTATACTTATTTATGTTGTTTTCTGATCTGTGAAGTTTTCCTGTTGACATTATTTTATGAGTCACATCATGTCACTTTACCATCAGAATAATCCCAAAGGATGATTTTTCACTTTCAGACCTTTTTTGTTGTCAATTATTGATATACTTCAGAATTTTTGTTATGTTTGTATTAGCTTTTCTTATAGAAATGTTCTATATCTAAAGAAAATGTTATACAAAGGAACATTAGTCAAACAGAATGAAATCTTTTCATTTGCAACAGTATAGATAAATCCAGAGGACATTGTGGTAAGTGAAATAATCCAAGCACAGAAAGGTAATTATTGCACAGATCACATTATATGAAGAATCAATAAAGTTGAACTCATAGATGTAGAGAGGAGAATGGTAGTTACCAGCTGCTGAGGGTGGTAGGAAGGGAAGAATAAAAGGCAGCAACTTAGAACCAAGGAGAGAGCATGCGCAAGGACCCAGGTTCAGTCTCTGGTGTCACATGCTATGCCGGCCCCATGTAGCGTACGCCTGTAATCCCATCACTGGGGAGGCTGAAACAGGAGGACCACTAAGAGTCTCAGCTGTGTAGGCAGATCCTCTAGAAATAAATAATTTTTTTTTAAAAAGCAGTAAATAATAGATGTAGTGGAAGAATATATTTTGAGATAATGACTATACTTAATAGTATATATTTCAAAATAAAGGTACATTTTAAATGTTACTCCAAAAAATGATAGGTGCAGTGATGTTAGCATTAATCATTCATATTATAACCTACATCAAAATAGAATGTGCTATCCCATAAAAACACAGTTATGGTTTATTAATGAAAAATAATTTTTGAGAAAGAAAAACAGTATTTGGACACATTGACATTTTTGTCACAAATATTGTTTTCAAAGTCAAGAATTACGAAGAATATATACAGAGTTCTTGGTGGTCAAAATGATTGTGTTTTATACTTGATGTCGTCTACCATTTTTTTCTTTTCATAATAGCAATACTAGAATGTAACATTTATTAAATATTTGCTATATGTTAGAGAAGCTTAGTAACCAAATTTGTTTTGGTAAAGCAGTTACTTTGTTCTAGTGAAGTAGTTGCTTGTTAAAGTAACTATGGGTGTGTTCCTATATATACATTGTATGTGATTTACGTATGTGTGTAAAACTAAATCTATATACTTAATGTATATAATATAGTTACCTTGTCTATGCAGATTATACACATGGAATAATTTTGTAATGCATTTTTTTGATTATCATATAATGGCATATGCATGCGCCTTATTTATTTATTTATTTATTGCGTAACCAGGGATTGAACTCAGGTCCTTGTGCTTGCCAGGGAAGCGCTTATTCTACTGAGCCATCTCCCTGGCCCCTATGATGTTCTAATGTATTCCTTTTTTTTTTGACAGGCTGAAAAAAATGCACCTAACTTGAAAACTACCTATAGCAATGTTTTACAGCTGATCAAGGTATGTTGATACTATATTTCTGTGTCTGCATATGTCATGAAAATTGTAGCTGGAATATAAGATCCTTGAGGAATAAAAAAAAATTATAAATGATATTCTGTCTTAAATTTTTTGTATGAGTTGCTGAGGATTGAATCTTGAACTTCATATGCTAGGCAGTCACTCTGTTACTATACTATATACTTAGTCCCAATCAAATTCTTTATCTCTATTTTAGTCATTTTCCTGTTGCTGGGATAAGTGCCCAGCATCTGCTGTTTAAAAGAGAGTTTATTTTGCTCACAATTTTAGATGATCAGTCCCCACGTTGACTAGGTCCAACGTAAAGGAGCAGCCTGCACTATAGGCATCCAGGAAGCAGGGAGAAAGAAGGGAGGTGCTGGGAGCAAGAATCCACCTCTTTAGTTAGGTCTAGCCTGCAGTGAACTGCCTCTTTCAACTAGACCCTACCTCCAAATAGCACATTCAGCTATGAGCTCCTCAGTGGATTCATCTGCTAATGAGGGCAGTGCTTCCATGTTCCAGAAACACCCCGAAGGCCCATGTCAGGACATGTGAGAATTTGGGTGGTGTTTTAGATCTAACTGTGACAATATTGCAAAATGTGTTATCTTTTTTTTTTTTTTTTTTTTTTTTTTTTTTTGTATGTTTTGTCTTTTTGAGACAGGGTTTCAGTATCACTTTGTAGCCCAGCCTGGCCTCGGATTCAGAATGATAATCTTGCCTTAGCCTCCTGGTGCTAAAATTACAGGCGTGCAATACTATGCCCAGTCCAAATATAGTATCTTCTATAGATTAGACAAGCACATTTTTATTAACCTGTAAACTAACATCTATTTTGTTCCCTAGGTGAATTTTTCCTCTTTGGATATTCACTTACATACTGAAGCACTTCTGAATACAATAAATTTTTTAAATAAAATCCTTCCACCCTCCGTGGAAAAATCAGCATCAGTGCCTATTGTGGAAACTGGAGACAAAGGAGAAGTTATTAAAAAATTAGGTATATTTTTTTAATATTCAAATTCAAATTTTATTGGCAAGTAGAGCAGTAAAATTAGGCTCTGAATTTATTAACTTACACTGTTGACCATAGAATTTTATTATCTAGACCAGTGATGGTGATCCTTTTAGAGACCAAGTGCCAAATTAGACCTCAAAACCTGCTTGTTTATTGAAGTGTATCAACACTGCGATCAAACCTGAATACTGAGGTTTTAGTTTAGAAAAAAACAGTTATAGATTAACATTTTTTGTCTTAAAAGAAAAACTAATACCTAGACAATTCATTATATTCTGGGTTTATTTTAGGAAAGAACAGTCAAGGAAACTTGAATACTGCTGAAGAAAAATTTTCTATTATATAATTGGTTTTAGTTCAAGATGTTATAGAAATATTTGATTCAGGTTACAGTTCACATATATCCTAAATCTTGAAAGCAACTCAGATGCCCATCAGCTGAGGATTAAAGAAAAAAAAAGTATTTTTATACAATGAAGTACTACTCAGCTATAAAGCAAGATAAACTTGAGGCTTTTATAGGTAAATGGATTCAACTAGAGATCTATTTATAAGTGAAATAAATCAGACTCACATGTGTAAACATTATATTGTATCCCTAGTGTAAAAAACTGAAAGAGTAAGGTTGAAAGCATACAATAGATATTCTGAAAGGGAAGGAAACTGCTCACATGGAAAGAACAACTGGGATCAGGGAAAGAAAAAAAAAAGGATAAACGTGTACACGCACATGCATGCGATAGCTAAGATAATTATACTAATTGCTATTCATCGAAAGGAACAATTAGAGAGTACACTGATCAATTTTGCGTGCCTATGGTAATCTGAGGAACTGCTTTGAAGATAATAATATGCTGTATAGTAATCATTGTCAGTTTTATATCTTTTCAAATTATGTATAGTTTTTGTTTTTTAATTCTCTTTGAAAACTTCATTTATTTATTAACATTTAGATTAAGAAGTACAACAAAGTTTGAGTAATCAATACATTTTTAATAAATGGACAGGTTGAACATCATCAAAAACTTGAAATTTGAAGTGCTCCAAAATCAGAAAATTTTTCAGTGTCATGTTTGTGTTAAAAAGTTGTGGATTTTGAATCTTTGGATGATCAGTCTATTACTTATTAAAAGCAGTGAACATTTAAAATTTTTGTGAAGAGTACAGTATTTCCTACTAATCATTGGGTCATACAAGGTTTAGGGTTATACAACTATAGTTCTTAGTTTCAAATGTTCAGTCTTTTCTAGAAACACTGTTCTGCCTTTGTTTTCTAGGGTTAGAAGTTCTGGTTCAATAGGGAATATCTTTGCTTTAATTTGAATTACAAATCAGACTTTCATTATCATCATCATGATCAAGTATTATTATTTGTGGTGATAGTTTGCTTTGTAAGTGTAATGTAGTAACTACTGTAAAGTTTCCCTGACCTTTTACAATGTGATTTTTTGTAGCTTTCAAGCAGTCCATGAATGAAGATGTTATTACCTTGCAGATTTTAGCAGAATTATCATGTTTACAGATTTTTATTCAAGAACAGAAACGTAACATTTCTGAAATTAAAATTGAAGGTAATACAGTCCTGTTAAAAATAAATTTAAAGCTATTAAATAAAAGAAAAGCAATTATTCATCTTTTTGTTCCTTTAGGGCTTGATTCTGAGGTGATTATGAGGCCTTCAGTAACTGAAATAAATGCAAAGCTAAGGAATATAACTGTTTTGGATTCAGATACAATGGCTGTGTACAAAAAGGTAAGAATTTAGGGATGAGGAAATAGAATTCAAAAGATGAATTAGGAACATTTATCAGCTCATGATGAATATAATCATATCCTGCAAGCATGTATAATATAAATTTTTAATAAAATATT